TGGGGTATTTCAATCCTTTCCCCCAGGGGGATATATCCCCCTACTCTGATTCAATCCTCTGGGGGGACAAAAAAGGGTTGCGTCATAGGACCTCGCATACCTCTGTGTTTCTACCTGCCAGACAGTTAGAGCAGCGCGACCCCTCAGGGGAAAGAGTGCTTCATCAGTGGAGGGTAGTAGCGCTGCTCTAACTGTCTGGCAGGTAGAAACACAGAGGTATGCTAGGTCCTATGACGCAACCCTTTTTTGTCCCCCCAGGATTGAGAGGATTGAATCAGAGGAGGGGGATATATCCCCCTGGGGGAAGGATTGAATACCGCCCTGGTTTTTGGGGGGCATGCTTCTCAGTTAATCAGAAAGCGATAGGACATCAAAAATGCGTTGCAGATCTTCGTTTCAATTCTTATCTAGCAGAGGCTTCAAGGCATGATTGCTTGTGTAGTGTTTCCTCTCAAATTACGTGTTAGGTGACAGTGGGCTTGGGCATAATAAAGTCATTGGCTCAACGCCAATTCTGTAAAACTCTTGATTCTCTTGATTTTCTTCTCTTCAGGTATGAACGATCTCTGGTTCTACTTCGGCAGTGCATTGAAGACGAGACTCTGTCAGAAACCTTTCGAGGAATGCTCAGAGATATTGTAGGTCTTGGAATTTTCTTTCTTTTGTCCTTCATACACGCAGCTCTATGGTTTCACTTGCCTTCGTTGTTTTTAGCGCGTTGATGTCCTGTCGCGCTTGCGTCATCCGGTTTTCTTGGATGCTTTGAGTTGTCCAGCGGAATTTTCGCTTTGGAACGAGGCTGAGAAGTTAGAAGGACAAACGCCGACAGGAATGGATGCGGAGACGTTTGCGAGGTTTGAAAATTTCAAAAAGGATTTATTTCTTCTACAGGTTACAGTATTAGAACGAGAGCTTCCAGGTTGAAACAGTTGTCCATGTTTGGAAAGGTGGAGGCCGGCTGAACCATCGCCCGGAGTTTTGTGGAACGTTGTGGATGCAAGCCATCGTCTGGAGTCCAAACTGCTCCAAACTCTGAGGAGGTAACGCGCATCGTTCATTGCGTTCATGGGGTGTCTGATGGTCCTCCCGTCTTTTTTCAGAGCAGAAGTAGCGAGCATGCGCGAGAATGTCGCGAACACAGCACGTTTGGTACTGATGACCGATGGAGGACAACGACTGCATGGAAGACTGGCAGCACTCAATCATATAGCCTGGATGTGTTCTGCGCAAGATGGCAGAAAGGGCCAGCTGACTTCTTGATAAGTTTAATGCGGGTTTTGTGGGTTTGAAAGCCGATATGCTCAGTGTTTTGCCCACTTCGACGTCTTGTGTCTTTTCGGTCTAATTCCAGTCATGGGGCACTCCATGCATGTCCAGTTCTCTGCAAACTAGTGTGAAACTCAAACATTCCAGCTTTTCACGCATGTCAAGTGACTGCCTTCACCCCCACCCCCGTAAACTGGCTCCAACGCTCCCCTGGCTCGGAATACCTAGCTTTCTGGAAAAAACTGCATCATGATGCCCCCCCCCCCTAACTGGAGTAGACCCGTATTTTATTTTCATTTTGTTTTCATATACATTTCCATATTTCATGTTTTTTTTTTATCATTCATACAGATTTATTTTTACACTACTACATTATATTACATTACTTCATCTTCAATGTTTTCGTTTGTAAAAGTTATTTGTATTCATTCTCATTTATTTTTATTTTTATTTTTTTTATTATTTTCCATTCTCGTAATCGGCAATAATTTTTTTCAAAGGCGGTTCTAATCAACTTAGCAGGCGTCGTTCCTTGTCAGAAAATTGGTGTGAAAACGTATGATGTTGCTGGAACTCGGCTCCGCCTAGGTAAGGCTAACTATAAATTATAACTATTATTATGGCACTTATGGGCAGAACGCCCTAGGATTGTAAGTAGGTTTGGCCTTTCTTTTATCTATTTTAGATCTATATTTGTCCTTCAAATACCCACATTACAGGCTCAAGCCCGGCGCATTTACATTTGCCGTTGGCTAAGTTGGCTAGAAAAACAGGCAATCCTATGTTAGCCGGTGTTCATCTTCACAAGGCCAGCAACAATCCAGTGCCTCATCAACAACAGCCCAGTACTGAACAGCTTGAAGGTTGCAGTGTACAAGGAACAAAAATGGTACGTACCCTTGGATACTTTTTATGGCGCTTACTTCCTCTACCTGGGTCATATTGCTCTTTCTAGGCCCTGAGTTTAACAGTTCGTAACCTTGTTTTTGAAATTTTCATCTGATTTTACTTGCCTTAATATTGTCAGCGATCACTTGAGAATTACATAACTCTGACTGTTCGGAAAGATTTGATTCCAGATGTGGGAGATTGCCTCGCCGGAACAACGGGCCCGAAGTTTTGTTACTGTATTTGCGACACTTCAAGGCGGTTATGAGATGATGTGCCACTCGTATCAAGTTCTCGCTGCCAACGTAAATATGGTAAAATTCAACTTTTATTGATTCCGATCATCATCTGAATTACATTGATTCCAGGAGGTGCCACCGCCGTTTGAAGGCATGAATGGCTTCATGAATGGATTTAGTCCTATTGCAGGTACTGTCCAAATTTCCTATTTTGGCGCATTTCTAGACTTTGATCGGCCTGGGAAAGAGTGTTTGAAACAGATCATTAACCATATTTTAGTTCCATACGGTGTTCCTCCGCCAAATGTTGGCATTTTGTCACCAGCATCTTCTACCGCTCTTGGTGAAGAGATGTCGCGCACTTGCCTTCGTCTTGTCCAATTGGCTTATCGACAGTCCGCAGTTGGTCTCTGCAATCCCGCCTGAGTGCCGGCAGTCACGTTTTTGGGTGAGGTTTATTCAAATACAAATACGAACTTGAAATAAGTGAGTTTACCTTTTTCATCCGTCCGATTCCATTTCAACCGTTTTAGATGCGACTGGAAGCGGCTGGGCGTGAGATGATGGGCTGTGATATGGTAGGAAGTCTACTGGTTGTTGCCACTGAAGTATCTCCTGCTCTCGGTAAAGCACATCGTAAATTGGGTGACTGGGCGTTCAGTTCGGCTGAAACTGCCGACAACGAGAAGGATAGGCTTTTGTTCTATAAGAATTATCGCGTGAGTTCATATTTCCATTTCTTTTTTGAATGCTTTATATTCATTTTAGCTAGTCTACAAAGGCCATTTCCAAATGTTATCCATGTGTTTAGCAGGTTCTTTTCTGCAGGATTGATTAGCTTTGTTAAGGTGCTTCTCGGAGAAAACGTGTCGGATTCAGCCTTGGATGGATTGTGGAAGGCTCTAAACACGGCGAACTCAGTTGCTCATT